GAGGAAACAGCTATGACCATCTCGAGCAGCTGAAGCTCCAATGTGGTGGAATTCTAGTTGCCTAACTTTTGCACGTTGAGTTTTCTAGGCCACCATGGTGAAATGGCCTAGAAATAGCCTAATGTGTCCCTTTTGGGTTTTTAGGTCATTTTACCATAGTGGCCTAGAAAACTCAACGTGCAAAAGTTAGGCAACTATGCTAAATGGTCTAGAAATGGCCTGAAATGCCCCTAGTGCATTTTCTAGGTCATTTTGGAATGATGGACTAACTTTTGCAAGCTGCGTTTTCTAGGCCACTATGCTAAACTGGCCCAGAATCGGTCTGACATTCACATGACGCGTTTTCTAGGCAACTTCACCATGGTGGCCTAGAAAACGCAACTTGCAAAAGTTAGGCCACTACATTAAAATGACCTAGAAAACACATTAGGGAACGTTCGGGTCATCTCTAGGTCATTTTACCTTGGTGGCCTAAGTTTTGCAGATGGAATTTTCTAGGCCACCACTTCCAAATGGCCTAGAAACGAGAAAAAAAAGTCCATTTTGGTCCATTTTTAACGATTTTCAGCTCATTGTGACCGATTTTTCCGCAAATTTCCATGATTTTTGAGCCAAAAAAGCCCTACCTTCATATCCTTCCACAAGAACTTCTCATCGTCGGTCATCTGAATGATAAGCGGGACGTCGAACACCTCCTGGAGCCATTTTGTGAAGATGAATGGGACCAGGTGACCCAAATGGAGGGATCCAGATGAGGCGCCACGTCCCGTGTACAGATAGAACGGCTTTCCTTGCTCCTTTCGGTCCAGAATCGCCGAGAAATCGCGATGGGCGAAGAACATGCCACGTCGGAGCATCGGAATCGCTTTGTGGCCAGTGATACGCTCGAAACGGGCGATGATGTCGTCGTCGAGCTTACGGCACCCGAATTTCACTGAAAATCCATCTTTATCCAAAAAGTTAGGCCATTCGGTAGAAAGAACCGAGTTTGACTGTCCAAAATCAGTTTTTAAATCTCGAAAATGTTGATTTTAAAGCGAGTTATGAATGTGGCCGAGTTTTGGGTTTCTAGGCCACCAAACTAAAATTGTTATAACACGCTTTAAAATCCATACTTTGAGAGTCTGAAAATTGGGTCGAATTCGTCACAATTCGAGCTCTCCAACTATATACGCAACATGATGGCCTAGTTTTCGCGAAATTCGGATTCCTAGGCCATCAAACTAAAACGGGTACCAAATACGTTCATAGGATATGAGCAAATCGTTTTTCAGATTTTTTAAAATATGGATTTTGAAGCGAGTTATACCCTATTTTAGTTTGATGGCCTAGTAACCCGAATGCTGGCCTAGAAACCCGAAAAACCAGGCCATGTTGCATAGATGGTTGGGAAGCCCGAATTGTGACTGGGGTGAACCAATTTTCAGATTCCGAAAATGTGGATTTTGAAGCGAGTTATGAAAGTGGCCGAGTTTTGTGTTTCTAGGCCACCAAACTAAAATAGGGAATAAATCGTTTCAAAATGCATATTTTGAGACTCTGAAAATTGATTCAAATTTGTTACGTTTCGGGCTTTCCAACC